TACTTTATTTTTCTTTCTCTCTTTCTTTGTGTCTTTTTCTTTCTTACTTACTTTCTTTTTCTTTCTCTCTTTCTTTCTTTTCTTTTTGATTAGATATCCCATAGTGGGTAACAATACCAAGACTATGGTTTCAAAGGACCAACAGGAATTTTCTGGTTAGATTTTCCGACTAACTGACAGGTATGACAAGTTTTACAAAACTGAGAAACGTCTTGCGTTAGTAACACGTCATGAACTTCTAGAAGGATCCTGTCCCTTCCTGAAGTTTCGAGAGGCTACTAGATATGCGGTAGTGTTGTATATATATAAGCCGCCAAGAAGCGACGGCAACAAGGTTGTGCAATTGAACTGCGGACAGAGAGACCTATTGTTGAGTCGAGTATGTGAGTCGTTCTTTGTGATTTATAGCGTTTGTTATAGCGTGACTGTGAAAATTAAGTGTATTGCAAAGTTGTATTCAGAAAGAATAAACCAGTTTTATTTAAAAAAGGGGTTGTATCGCTAAAGTTTCTTCGGAAAGAATAAACCAGTTTTATTTAAAAAAGGGGTTGTATCGCTAAAGTTTCTTCGGAAAGAATTTTTACGGAAAATTAACTAACGACCAAAGACGTAACAAATTGGTGTCAGAGAGTGGAACACAAAAAAAAAGAAGATGGAAACGAGAGGCGGTAAATCAAACTACAGCTTAGCAGATTTGATGTCAGCAATACAAGAACAGCAAAAGAAACAAGAAGAGAGACAACAGCAGTTGCAAGAAAACCTGCAACAGTGGCAGCTCGAACAACAAAATAAACAAGAAGAGAGATCACAACAGTTGTTGGAAGAAAAAGAAAAGAAACAAGAAGAGAGATCACGGCAGTGGCAAGAAAACCTGCAACAGTGGCAGCTCAAACAGTAAAATAAACAAGGAGAAAGAAAATGAACAAAAAAAGAGACTACAGCAGTGGATGGAAGAGAAAGAAAATAAACAGGAAGAAAGTCTCCAACAGTTACAGGAAAGTCCACAACAGTGGCAAAAAGTGCAAATGAAAAACATTAGTAAATTTCAAAGC